GGGCACACGGGGAGGCCGGTGGCAACACAGATGCCAACTGAGCCAGAGAGAGAACTGTGTGCAAGTAATGAGCTGCGGAATGCACCATCGCGTGAAATGGTTCCAGCAGACTCCACACAGTTAGGGGAACTACTACACCAATAAACTGTAGACAGAGGCGGGACCAGTGAGCTGATGCTCAACCCCCGCCAGCACAACTAGGCTAGAAGAGGTGGGGATGCGACCCATATCTGGCCCCCTGGTGAGGAGGGCCAGCACGAGGGAGGCTCCACTCCTCCTCCACCATCATAACCAAGCCTTCACCAGTTACGTATCGATCATTGGCTTTAATTATCAAGAATCTATATCCAGTGAGATATATACTTGTAGCTCTCCTGCAAACTGCTAATTAAAAGATATCAATACGAGGCCACTCCGGGGACCAGCACGGGGACCTCTGTGCCTCACTCACCTACATGTGCTCACCTATACACCCGATGCCAGGGACCAGTTAATCACCTAGCCCCGCCTTCCAAACTTGTTATTTAATATAATACAATGACTGTTCTCATGTTCTTTTGATATTTACATTCACAGTTCTTTATAGAGTTAGCTTTAGGCACTTTTCCTCCAACCAAATCCACACATAACGCTAAAACGGTTTTGACATCTGACTTGTGTTTCTGGCGTCCGGCCCCGTCTCCTCCTCCTCCTCCCAGCTTTATACCACACTTCTTTCTCTACTTAACGATTCCGCTTACAATCTTGTATGTCGTTATCATGTCCCCGTTATTTCTCCTCTGGTCTAGTGTGGAGACCCCCAGCTCCCTCCTGGCTGAGGGCTCTCACCTGAGGCAGGAGCAGCGGCCTGCACCTATATTTGCACCTGTTATGTTTACCTGTTTTTTCCAGACGAGGATATGACCCCTGGCGGCGGGCGGGAGGAGCGGGACCTCCTGCAGCGGTGTACCAACTACACCATTGGAGGAGACAAATGGCTACTAGAGTTCAATACCAACAGTTGTAAATTAATGCGAGAGGAGAAGGGAGACTTAAAGGTCATTATGGCGAGAGGGAGGAGAGGGGAAGGATCCGGAGTGGACGTAATATCAAGCTTAATGTACAAGGAACATGTCAACACATTACCTGTTATGGAAGGTAAGTATGCAACCTCCACCCCCTCCTCCTCTTTCCCCCCCCACACGCACGTCCCTTCCCCCCCATTAACGCGACGATGATAACAGCACTCTCAATATTTTATACAAGCATCGCTGCATGGGGGGGGGGGGCACTTCCGGCGACGGTATAAACAGATCAATTAATCGATCTTGGACGGGTGCTGGCCACACCCCCCCCCCTCCTGCCGGGTACTGGCCCCACACCCCCCCCTCCTGCGCGGGTACTGACCACACACCCCCCCCCTCCTGCGCGGTACTGGCCACACCCCCCCCCCCCTCCTGCGCGGGTACTGGCCACACCCCCCCCTCCTGCGCGGGTACTGGCCACACACCCCCCCCTCCTGCGCGGGTACTGACCACACCCCCCCCCTCCTGCGCGGGTACTGGCCACACCCCCCCCCCCCTCTGCGCGGGTACTGGCCACACCCCCCCTCCTGCGCGGGTACTGGCCACACCCCCCCTCCTACGCGGGTACTGGCCACACACCCCCCCTCCTGCGCGGGTACTGGCCACACACCCCCCCTCCTGCGCGGGTACTGGCCACACCCCCCTCCTGCGCGGGTGCTGGCGACACACCCCCCCCCCTCCAGCGCGGTGCTGGCCACACCCCCCTCCTGCGTGGGTGCTGGCCACACCCCCCCCTCCTCCTGCGCGGGTGCTGGCGACACACACCCCCCTCCTGCACGGTGCTGGCCACACCCCCCTCCTGCATGGGTGCTGGCCACACCCCCCTCCTGCACGGGTGCTGGCCCACACCCCCCTCCTGCGCGGGTGCTGGCCACACCCCCCTCCTGCGCGGGTGCTGGCGACCACACCCCTCCTGCGCGGGTGCTGGCCACACCCCCCTCCTGCGCGGGTGCTGGCCACACCCCCCTCCTGCGCGGGTGCTGGCCACACCCCCCCCTCCTGCGCGGGTGCTGGCCACACCCCCCCTCCTGCGCGGGTGCTGGCCACACCCCCCTCCTGCGCGGGTGCTGGCCACACACCCCCCTCCTGCGCGGGTGCTGGCCACACCCCCCTCCTGCGCGGGTACTGGCCACACCCCCCTCCAGCGCGGGTGCTGGCCACACCCCCCTCCTGCGCGGGTGCTGGCCACACCCCCCTCCTGCGCGGGTGGCTGGCCACACCCCCCCTCCTGCGCGGGTGCTGGCCACACCCCCCCCCCTCCTGCGCGGGTGCTGGCGACCCACACCCCCCTCCCTGCGCGGGTGCTGGCCACACCCCCCCCTCCTGCGCGGTTGCTGCCCACCCCCCCTCCTCCTGCGCGGGTGCTGGCTAAACACACCCCCCTCCTGCGCGGGTGCTGGCCACCCCCCCCCCCTCCTCCTGCGCGGGTGCTGGCGACACACCCCCCCTCCTGCGCGGGTGCTGGCGACACACCCCCCCTCCTGCGCGGGTGCTGGCCACACCCCCCTCCTGCGCGGTGCTGCTGGCCACACCGCCCCTCCTGCGCGGGTGCTGGCGACACCCCCCCCCTGCGCGGGTGCTGGCGACAACACCCCCCTCCTGCACGGTTGCTGGCCACACCCCCCTCCTGCGCGGGTGCTGGCCACACCGCCCCTCCTGCGCGGGTGCTGGCCACACCCCCCTCCTGGCGCGGGTGATGGCCACACGCCCTCCCTGCGCGGGTGCTGGCCACACCGTCCCCCCTGCGCGGGTGCTGGCCACACCCGCCCTCCTGCGCGGGTGCTGGCCACACCCCCCTCCTGCGCGGGTGCTGGCCACACCGTCCCCCCTGCGCGGGTGCTGGCCACACCGCCCCTCCTGCGCGGGTGCTGGCCACACCGCCCCTCCTGCGCGGGTGCTGGCCACACCGCCCCTCCTGCGCGGGTGCTGGCCACACCGCCCCTCCTGCGCGGGTGCTGGCCACACCCCCCTCCTGCGCGGGTGCTGGCCACACCGCCCCTCCTGCGCGGGTGCTGGCCACACACCCCCCTCCTGCGCGGGTGCTGGCCACACGCCCCTCCTGCGCGGGTGCTGGCCACACCCCCCCTCCTGCGCGGGTGCTGGCCACACCCCCCTCCTGCGCGGGTGCTGGCCACACACCCCCCTCCTGCGCGGGTGCTGGCCACACACCCCCCCTCCTGCGCGGGTGCTGGCCACACCCCCCCCCTCCCTCCTGCGCGGGCGCACTACTGACGAAGACGTCCCACCTTACTCTTCACAACCCGCTAATCATAGAAGCAAAGAGTCAATGGTTTCACACACACACATTAAAATCTACGCAAGTATATACCCGACTTTAAAACACTTATCCTTTTCCAACTGATAACTCGAGACGAGTACCAATCACTTCAAGTTATGTATTGTAAACATTCTATTGATCAACACTATCAAAACACCTGTCTTTGTCGACACACAGATGGTACACACACACACGGTACACATACAGATGGTACACACATACAGATGGTACACCATACACACACACACACACACGGTACACATACAGATGGTACACACATACACACACACACACACACGGTACACATACAGATGGTACACACACACAGGTGGTACACAATCGTCTATGTTAAAGGCCATTTGATAGTCTAAACAGAACATAGTTTGCCAACCGATCACTCCTGTGTGTAATCTATCACCCAGTCACTGAATTCTACCAAGTTTTCTGACAGTATTTGCCGTCCCAGGACCCATACTGGGATTTGGCGACGGTCAAGTGCTGTAGACATTTTACCAGTCATATACCGGCATCATCTTCCACCAGTGTGCAGGCGTGCGTGCGAGACCGCTTGTGCACCATCGGGGGAGAAGGCCGCGCATAACCGAACAACGAAGATGTCTCAGGGACGGCAAAAGGGCACAACAGAGTGGGCACACGGAATTTTTTTCCAGACTGTTAGAAAGTGTTTGACATAGTTCCCTACATCGCACTAATTCAGATGGTCGATGAACACACAGGTACACGGTGCACCGCTGGCACCCCACAGTTACACGGTGCACCGGTGGCACCCCGCAGGTATACGGTGCACCCGCTGGC